ATATGAATATACATTACAGCATACACCTCTCCAATACTAATATTCTGCACAATTTCAAGCATTTTATGTGTTTTAAGTATTTAGAAAACTAAACACTCATTGCAAATGTGAATGGAGGTAAAACAGCCAGGTTCTCARAGGAGGTTACAAACCAAAGCATTCCATTTCAGGAAGCCAGGCAGCAGAATTTGGGATGCTTGCCATTTCAGGCAAACACAGAACTAACCTCTCCTCTGACAATGCTACCATGGCTCTCTCAGACAGCAACAAAACAATCCAAATAAGTGCTGCAGTGACCTGAAAGTCATAGGAATGACAGGAATTCAGGATTCTGTTATTTGGAAGAACAACCAAGCACACGGGAGCTGCAGTAGATGCAGCTCTACTTGTCTGACACATGTGAAAAATAAGCCATCAATAGTGTTGGTTCTCTCTGCCAACTCAAAGTACAAGTTTAAAGCACAATAAAAGAGGGATGTGATAGTGAAGTACACCCAGATCCGTGTGTTCACTAGGAGCAGCCTTGGCATCTGTGTAGTTTTCATGCAGATATGATAAATATTAACCATTAAAGTGACACAGAACTGTGACCTGGTACTGGGGTGCACTAAACAATTCTGCATACACAATGCTCCTATAGATCTAACCAACTCCTGGCAGGTCACCCCCATAGAGAGTCTTGATTTAGGACAATTGGCACAACAGGCACACAGGAATCTCCATTTACAGCTGGTGCTTTCTAGCACTGGATCAGCAACGTTTGAGGAAATCCACACTTTATACACAGTAGGGAAAACTCTCAAACTCAGAGTCCCTGCTGGGCCAGCTCCCAAGATTCCAACACAGTCTCAGGCTGCAGAGATTRCACAAAGCTGTCAGATACGTTAAGACTCTCAGAGAAAGAGCAGGAAAATTAAGGTAGTAAAAGGCACTRACTGCAGGCTGTTATTAAGATTAGGGATTAGTACAGATTAAACAGATTAAAATAGTACATGAGGCATTACTTAATACACAGAGGATGAGAAGACAGAAGCTGCAAGGGCTAAAAAGACTTTTGTAGATACTTTCTACCCTGCAGCAGTCACAGGTACAATCAGGCTCACCTGCTGCTCTCAGTGTGGTTCTGTTCTAGCAAAGGAAGCCTGTTCCTAGTATGGCAAATAGTTCAAGACTTAGTTTGACACATCCCKAAAGGAGGCAAAGAGCATCAAGTTTCGGGTTTATCATTTTAAGAAATACTAAGTAAGATTATCTTCACATTTCAAAAGTATATAGTGGCTCAGAGAACGAGATTTAAAAATAATCAGCTTATTGGGAAGATCAGCTTCTCTATGAAAGACCTTATAGATAACAATGACTTTAGGTTTYCTCAGKAGTCAAAAAATTTTGTGTCATCTCTAAATTTTGCCTTTGGTACTTCCTTTGGGGATTACAAAATCAGCCCTACTTTTTCAATGCCCAAGAGAACTTTGTTAGGAAAAAAATGCCAAAGTTTTTTATTCTTCTACAAAATCTTCTACAATGTGATCTTCTAAATGGAGTCAGTTTAAGATCCCAGCCTTTCTAACCCGGTTATTGTGTTCCCAGGTCTGCCATCCTACCCTGAGCTTATTCAAGGGGCACAAACACTTCTCAGCTGAGTGGCAGGAGCTGTGAATACCACAGAGAGCAGAACTCCTCACAACAGAGCCATGTGCAGCTCTCTTCAGAACAGGTGTGTGTGTTTAATGATCCTCAGGCCACTTCCTGCACCATTTCTCAGGGATCTGTGCATTCTGCCCCAGTATTTTCCYACATATTCTTAGGAAAATGAGCCTCCTTCACGTGCTGCTGTGTTTGAGCAAAACAAGACAATGAAAAAGATAAAAATCTAAGACAGCTGGCTTTTCAAGGAAAAACAGAAAGAACAGCTCATTCGGGCATGAAGAACCTGCAAGTACCAAAAAGAAAGTTGTTATTAACTACACAGATGAGAAAAAGCCATAAAAACTTGGGAAAATAGTAGAGGGGACAATAGGAAGTAAAGGGAACTGCACTCTGAGTTACAGCTGAGGATCCTAAGGTTTTGGGCAGACCAAAGGCATTCAGATCCTAAACTGCTAAACTGCCATCCTGTCCATAAACACAGGAGTGTCCATGAACCTCAGGCATTTCACAAATGGACYCAAATTTCACTCACAAGCCCTCACAGGGGCATTCACAAGCTCCTCCGTGCACAATCAGGAAAGCAACTGCTTTTGTAGGCTCCAGCAGTCACAACAAAACCCTACAAAAATTCAGATAACAGCTGATATTTCACTGGCCTCCAAGAGATTCAATCCAGTCACTTTCAGGGGCACGGCCAGCCTGCCACAATGTAGCCTCAGAATTAAAAAAAACACACTTTTAGAAGCTGACTTTCATTTTTTTAGTTTACATTTAAACCTTTAAAAGCCTCCTGCTGAAAGAGTTGGTCAGGAAATGGAAGTCCAAGGTACGCTTTACTCCTCAGCTTTAAAGTCTTATTTAATCATTCAGGAGAGTTGAGAACACCAAGAAATCAATCCMTATTGATGGAGAACCCTCCTCTCCTTTAACTGGTTTCTTTTTAAAATATTTCAGAGTGCTTCCATCACTCTTCAGGCCCCAAAATTTTCTCTAGTTCAGGATCTATAGAGAAACTGGTTATGCTGCCTGGAAAAGATAAGTTGCATTACTTTACCAATGCAATATTTAAATTTTATTGTTCTCATAAAATGATAAACTCAAAGAAYAATCTTTGGACAGCCAAGAGATGTAGCTCAGATATTCTTAGAGGTGTTGGGGTTTTTTTTTTTGCTTTTTTGTTTTTTTGTTTGGCAACAGGAACATTGTTGATTTAAAATCCAGGTCATTTAAAATCAAAAGTTCAAAGTGCAGTCAGACACTGCACCTGCAAACAGGATTTTCTGTCAGCATTTTAYGTCATTTCCAAGTCTCTGCTTAAAGAAAATTCCTTCCTGTTGTTTCGTAACAAAGAGGTAAATAGGAAAGGTTCAGGAATGGGTTTGGTGGTGGGTATCACCAGTCAGCTTGTGTCTGCCCATGTGCTGGGCATAGGCACAGGCTCAGAATTCCCTGTGTTCGCCTCAATAATAAATTCCTACTGCAAAAATCCAGGTGATTATACAGGGGAGGCCATTTCGGAAAGATGGGGAAGCAAAGTTTATTTCCCCAATCCCCTGAAGTCCTCAGGCATATAACTTCCCTTTACTTTAGTGGGACATGAGGCAGCCAGTGACTGCTGCTTCATTCAGGATTTCTCTGGGCTCTCACMCCCTCTGAGGTGTAACAGCTACTTCCAGAACACAGGGAAAATCTAAAGAACCATTTTTTTATTGTTACATTTTATTTTCCTTCTATTCTGTGACTTAATTGCCAGTAATTATTTTTTTAAACAGGGTTTACTGCTACCATASTTGGCATAGATAAATTCTCCTGCTTAATAGGGTTGATACACTGGCACGGATCCCAGAACCATGTGAGTTTATTGCATGGATCATCAAATCTATTAATGTTATCAGATCCTGGTCCATATTTCACATTTCCCATTRATACATTGAAACAAGCAAGAGAATYACATAAAACRCAGCACCCACAATTGCCTGCTTGGATAGATGATGGCTACTCAAAATAATCTTTCAAGCATGGAAAGTTCAAGCTAACAGCCCAGACCTCATACATCTGATCCAGAGAATCTCTCCTCTGTGTAGGGATAAAGTTTGCTGCACGCTCCTTTTTGGCAAAGCCGGAGCAACAGAAAAAGCCAACTTGTCAAATTTTAGCTKGAGAACAAGATGTCCCTGTGTCCTCCGCAAATACTGCTGGCAAGTRTACAGCCGAGCAAGAGTAGCCCTTCAGCCATCTGCCACACACCCACCTCCCAGCCARGCATTTACACCTTTGCTGGGACTAAAATGAAGGTTTCTGGCAAAGAGCAACATGGTATTACCTCCAAATGGCCAGAAATTGAAATACTAAGTAACAACAGTGTCAGCTGGTGACTAAACACATTAAAGGAACAAATYGCTGTAAGAATCAAACAGCATAAGCCCAACTCTGCACTCTCTGCATACAAACTGTGAGCTCCCAGGCATGCTTTGATGGATGCTTCCACAGGGAAAAGAATGGTTGAGGATCACCSTGAAGTTTAGTGCTGCTGCAGATGCTACAGCAGATCCCTCTGATTCTTCTTTTATGCCATTCTGAGGGAGGAAACTTGAAAGCTCAAGTTGTGAGCTGACCTGACAACCTTGCACTTGACAATTAGAGAGGTGCTGAGGTGTCCCACTTCCCAAACCATTGATGTTCCAGGTACATCCCTGCTGCTTTGCTCCTGATTTCTGGGCATGCAGATGTCAGACATGGACACCTTTACATCTGCAACTACAGGACATTTGCTGCATCCTTAAACCAAGATACACAAGGATCTGTATTAATGTAAAGCCAAGAAATTCAGAGCCTTTCGAAAAGTAATAGAATAGCCTTACCCAAATAACTTATCTGAACTTTAAATTACCCTTTAAAAACACTTCATTAGAGTAGTGCTCTSCTCCATCCTGGAACAACTTAAGGTTTATGCTGCCCAGGAGCTGCAAGAATGTTCAGCATAMAATGAACCCTGCAAGGTGAGAGAGAAGCCCACAAAAATCCCAGGCTGGACACAGTCTGCATTGCTAGATGGGCAGCCGGCAGCATGCCTGCCTTTCCCAAGTATGCCAGGACTTGCCAAGTGATGTGCAGCCCTTTGGGAATAAGAGAGCTGTGTGGGAACGAGACCTCTCTAGGAATCCACGATAAAACCTCACCCCGACCTCGGCAGGGCAGGGATCCCAGAGACCCTACAACCCCACGGGCTGCAGGAAAAGCAGGGGGAGAAGGAGTAAAACTTTGAGAGAGGTTGGACAGGCRGAGGAGGAGGAGGAGGAGGGTGTTCTGCACGCCCTGGGGAAGGGCAGCAGAGGCTCCTGCCGAGGGAGTACCTTGTAACTGAGCCGAGAGCGACTCCTGATGCTGCTGGTACTTGAGCGCCGTGGCCTCAGCCTTCCTGAGCTGGCCCTGCAGCTCGTAGTAGAGCATCGCCCCGTACAGGAACCCGAACACCACGGTCAGCAGCAGCAGCGTCTGGAAAATCCGCTTCTGTTTCCGGGAGCACATCCCGTTGCCCATGTCCCCGGCGGGGTCCCGAGGGCCCCCGCCCGTCACGGCTCAGCAGCGGGCGGGAGGCGGCGGCATCGGAGGCCCCGGGAGGAGGAGGAGGAAGGAGGGAATGAGGGAAGGAGGGCCGGCGGAGGCGGGGCCGGCCGATAATCTCAGCCCCTGGGCACGGCCGCGGCGCCCGGGGCGGTCCCCCCGGCGCGGGCAGCGGAGGGGCTCATGCTGGGGATGCTCCGTGTCCCGATCCCCGCGTCCGGAGCCTGCGGYCGGGGCGGCAGCGGAGCCGGAGCCGCGGGGCTGCGGGACGGGAACAAAGGCAGCTCCCGGCCCCGCACTGACGTGTCCCCGCTCGGCCGCGGCGCCCCCGCCGCGGGATCCCCGAAGGAAGTCCCGCTCCGGGCGCGGCCTCATTGGGTCGGGCCGCGGGTTCTGCCCTCCCTCCGGAGCGCATTGGGTGCCCGCCGCGTCCGTCCGCAGCGAGCCTGGCTTCCCTCCCGCCCCTCACAGCCTGAGCCCCTCACAGCCTGAGCCCCTCACAGCCTGAGCCCCTCACAGCCTGCACCCTCACAGCCTGCACCCTCACAGCCTGAACCCCTCACAGCCTGAGCCCCTCACAGCCTGAACCCCTCACAGCCTGAGCCCCTCACGGCCTCATCCTCTCACAGCCTGAGCCCTCACAGCCTGAGCCCCTCACAACCTGCACCCTCACAGCCTGAACCCCTCACAGCCTCAGCCCCTCACAGCCTGAGCCCCTCACAGCCTGCACCCTCACGCCTGCACCCTCACAGCCTGAACCCTCACAGCCTGAGCCCCTCGCAGCCTGAGCCCTCACAGCCTCAGCCCCTCACAGCCTGAGCCCCTCACAGCCTGAACCCCTCACAGCATCAGCCCCGCACAGCCTGAACCCTCACAGCCTGAACCCTCATTCCCTCAGCCCCTCACAGCCTGAACGCTCACAGCCTGCACCCTCACAGCCTGCACCCTCACAGCCTGAACCCTCACAGCATCAGCCCCTCACAGCCTGAACCCTCACAGCCGGCACCTCCACAGCCTGAGCCCCTCACAGCCTGAGCCCCTCACAGCCTGAGCCCCTCACAGCCTGAGCCCCTCACAGCCTGAGCCCCTCACAGCCTCAGCCCCTCACAGCCTCAGCCCCTCACAGCCTCAGCCCCGCGACCCCGGTGCAGGCGCCTCGGGAACGGGGCTCGGGCGTTGATGGGAGCAGAGCGTGTGACAGAGAGGGTGGCACAGCGGGGGTGTGCCACGGCGGGGATGTGACACGGAGGAGATGTGACACGGTGGGGATGTGACACGGCGGGGATGTGACACACAGCGCGTCCCCGAGTGGCACCGCCGGGCCCGTCTGCGGCTCAGGGTACCGGGAAGGCAAAGCCCCAAAGGACCGTTCTTGTAGCCAAGCACCCGAGGCGTTCGTGGGATCGCAGAATGGTTTGGGTTGGAAGGGAGCTTAAAGCCCGTCCAGTGCCACCCCTGCCATGGCAGGGACAACTCCAGCCCCAATGTCCAGCCTGGCCTTGGGCACTGCCAGGGATCCAGGGGCAGCCACAGCTGCTCTGGGCACCCTGTGCCAGGGCTCCCCACCTCACAGGGAACAATTCCTGCCCAATATCCCATCAGATTGCTCTATATTTTAATAAATTGTTGGCTGCACTWTGTTTTGGGTGTTGAATGGCCTTCCCTGTCCTTGGCCATTTCTTCCYGCAGAGCCCAGCCCAGGCCGCTGGTGCATCTCAATTCCATCTCCCCCAAATGCACCATCTTCACTCAGTGCTCCTAAATCCCACTGTGGTGCCAAMAACCAGGTCATGCATATTTCATCAGCATAAACCCAGAATTAGCCTTCATACAGTTCCCTCTCCTAGTCTATTTTATTACAGGAAAAGCAAAACCCAACCAAGACTCCAGCTAAACTAGAAAAATAAGCAAAAAAAAAATCAAATACATATGCCAAAGGGTTTTTATTTTCCTAAATATATCTAGCTCATACATATATGTTTTTCATAGGCATTATTCTGGCCTTAATAGAAAAACAACATCAAAGAAGCTTCAAAAATTCTTATTCAAATATTCTRCATATTCCAGTAATTAATAGCAGCCAGTACCACAAGCTAATATGATTTCCAAGTGTATTTGATATATTTTCATTTAATGGAATCCCTTGCTGTCTGTTTGAGAACCAAAGTGTTTGAAATCATGATTCTGACACCCAGGAAGAGATTGTAATTGCTTTGAAACAGTGATGCTTAAAAAAAACAACAAAACAAACTTTAAAAAAAAAATGGTCTTTTCCCTTGTCTTGGGAAGCTTCCTGGGGTACCCAAGGTTACATTTTACATCTTTTGTCCCAACCATGAGTGTTTCAAGTTGAGGTATTTTCATGCTGGGTTACAATATCCATTTCTTTCACAAAAAATTTTCCCAGGAAGTTTCTTAGTATCACCCAAATTCTAGCTTCCATCCCTCCCCCAAGCTGCTTCAGAGCTATCCTGTGCTTTTTCCATTTCCAGGCTCTTCAGGCTGAGTAAAATGAGATAATTCTTTATTTTTGGACTGAGACTTTCAAATCACTGGGGGYGATTTATACTTCACTATTACAGCTCTTCAAATGATTTCATTTTTTTGTGTYTCCACTTGTTGCTTACATCACCTCTCATAAACCCAGTCTGTCTTTCGTTTTGATTACTTTKCACCAGAGAACGATTGGCTGACATTTAAAAATGTTAAAAATGTAAATTTAAAAGGACACTGAACCCACAGTGTTATTTAATATCTATTCCAAATACGTTTAATTGATTATGGTTTAAATATACTTTATCTGTTTGTAGAAATTGTCAATATCATGCTAAAGGGGGGAGAAGCAAATTACTATCTCATTTTGTTTAATCAAATATTACTTATATTCAGTAACTGGTAGTGATAGATCTCTTCAGCTCATGTAAATTGTGATTCTCCATGAACAATCCAATTAAGGCTGAAACGAGGAATTTATTGGGAACAAGGGACTATTATGTGAAGCTATTAGGCAAATTTGAATTGGAAGTCCCGAAATAGAAAGGTTTGGACCTAAAAGAGGCTGTAATTTCTTTAAAAAGCATTAAATTAGTTGCTAGGAGAGAGATGCTGCTTGGACTAATCTCTGGATGCGTTGCCGATATAATCAGATGAGGGATGAGTGGTTTCTGAGCCATGGGGACCCTGCTGGGAGGCTGCGGAGGGAATTCCTGGCAGGAATTTGCTCCCATCCATTTATCAGCTCTGGTTTCATTTCCCGGGCGAAGGAGGTTTGTGCAACCCGACTGCCTGACAGTTTGGGCTGTCCTGTACCAGCCCCTGCCCAAAGCACTGGCCAGTTCCTGTCAGTTTAACCCAGCTGGAGAAACGTTGAGCAAAATGAARTTCCTGTAAGTTCTGAGAAATGTCTGAATTCTAACCCTGTAAGTTCCTGTGCATAGGGAAAGGCTGCATGTACTCAGACTCAGCTGGGTAACTGAGACCTGATCAGGGCAGAGATGTCAGAAAAACCCCAATCCTTGGGACACAGGTTCTCATCATCAACAACAAGGTGTGGGAAGTGCATCCTCTGTAATTTGGACACCACAGAACTACATTTTTTGGTTTGCTTCTTTCCTTAGTTTGTTTTCCTTCTCATAATAAAATTTTCTTGCATTTTCTTTCACGGTTTTCACTGTCMGTTTTACTAAACTTGATGCCATAATTATTACATAACTAGGGATGCCAATATCTAATAAAAATGGCCATTGAACAGCTTTGAGTTTTTTTGCAGAATGGTGTAACGAGTGTATCAGGCAGCACGTCTTTTATTTATTTTTATTTTAATTTAATCTTCCCAATCAATGTATCAGGAATCTCCAGCTATGGAAATCTACAGTGAAGGTTGTCCCACACAAGTCACAGCCCATTCCTTTGGTTGCCAGAAGTTAAGGAATGTTCTGGCAAGGCATCTGTTATTACCTCTCTAGCTACAAAGTAGGTTCCAGCTGCAGATGTTTAGCCAAGAATGACCTTTCTGTCCAGTGGCTAAAGCTTACTAACACAGACAAAGATTGTTTTAACATGCAGTGTCATCTATTAGTGATCAGGAACTGCAGGAATGAAAAGRTTGGACTTGAAGAGGTGAATGCTGCTGGGAAAATTGAATTTACCACTGCATGAGGTCATAGTTTGTGGCACTGGGGGAAGTCAGGATTTTTACAGCTGACCTGTGTCTGAGTGTTCACTTTGAGTGATCCATTGAACTCTGTTTGGTGATGCACAAATTGGAGGTGAGGACCAGGAGAGCTGTGTTTTAATATAGAAAGTTCTATGCCATTTAATATTCTGGGAAAAAAATTAATCAAAGATAAAGCACCCCAAACTGGACATTCCAAGTTAAGAGAAATTTGGTTACGAGAATGTTCTTCTGCCCCAGTTCTGGATGTGGAATAAGAGATGATAGTTAACTTTACTCATGGATACATACAAAGATGCCTTTATGTAAGTTGTTCAGCATTCATGGTAGGAACGGGCATAAAACTGGTGGGAAAATTCTGTGTGGGTACAAAGAGTAATTTTAACCAATTCCCCATTGAGGTGAGAAATGTGGTTCCTGCTGGACATGACTGAGGGGGCTACACTGTGACTTCATCTTGTTTCTGGTGCTTYCTGACTTAAACAGTCTTGTCATTTTCCTGGCTCAAAACCATTATCCTTTGTAAATAATTAATGCAGGTAAGTAGATGCATTAAGATGTACAGATATTGTAGCAGCACTAGGAAATAATGGAGTTGTATTTGCCACAGACTTACAAATTCATTTTACCCGTGACACGCACAGGATGCACTTGGAATTGCCATAAGTGATTTTATGTCATTGCCATATGTGATTTTATGTCATTGCCATGCAGTCACTGCAGCTGAAGCTCAGTGTATCCTGTGCTGGAGCCATTAGTTGCCTGTCAAGGCAGAACAGCTTCTAAGAAACAGTGAAATTTGATCAGCCTTTTGCTGCAATCCCCAGGAAAAAGAAAAAAAAAAAATTCTTCATGTCATTACATGCTCCATTGTTCTTAACGTGACAGCTTCAATAAAAACAATAGTAAACACTTAAAATAAAGAGTAGGATCCCATATCTTTTACACAGTGAATTGACTTTAAACAATGGTYAGCTGATCCACCTTTGGAGGAAATTTGCAATTGGAAACCCTGGTTCCTGAGAAACAAAAAAGAAAAATAATAATGATTGAGTGCTACTGATATTTTGGATAGTCCTACAATTAAGGGGCTGGATACTGGTGCCTTTGGGCACAGAGGTAACAGAACATTAYGTTCATTGGCACAGGGATCTGTTTATATTTTGCTTCT